AATAATATAATTGCGGTATTGAGAGGATATTATCTAATGGGCAAGTATGTCAATCGGTTGTAGCTCTTTTCTACGATTATTGCAACGGTTGTTGACTAGAGTATAGTAGTAGTACCTTTTTCAAATGTATTTTTCGGATTTTAATTGCCTGTTTGGAATAATTAAAGGTATAGCCCAATAAAACGACATAGTAATTTCTCTATTATAAAACAGAATTTTCCTTAATACTTAACGCCCATAAATAAAGGTCTCAGTGATTTAAACGATATTGTATTTCCGCTGTTCATAAAGTAGGGTTATCACTATTTTACCCTAAAACTGTGGTATTACAATGTATCCATTTTATAGAAGCTAAGTAAGCGGGGTTTGTTCGGAGATGATGGTTATCATCAATTTAGCTCTTATATGGTCATCTATAATACACAATATATGTTATATTTTAGTTGGTTCTATAAAGTACATTAGTGGCGGATCTGAATAAAATTTGTTTCTATATACTGGGGTTATATAAATAGTATATATAAAATTAGTGGAAGTAATTTTGATAATCCTTTCATTGCTATATTGTTTACTAATACTTTCTCTACTTTATTGCTTTCGTTGACAGTTGATGGAACTTTATTTGTTTAAATTATTACATATTTGTATAATTTATGGGCAATAAAATATTTTTTAAGGGACTTATTTATGATTTAACATAGTTATTATAGTTAATTTTCTCTATTAATGTAAAGAAACCGACAGTCAAAATCCGGTTCATGTTAAAGTTTTTCTTTCTTGTATATTTTCAACTTTAATATCCATAAAATACTATTAAATCGCTTTTTAGTTAAACATTTCCCATGATTCCCATAGCTGCTTCTCATAATTAATTCAATAAATAATGTAATAAAATTTATTATTTTATCAGCACACCGCTTATGCCTAAGTATTTTAACTATTCAAAGGAGTGGTTGCCTGCCTTAACTAAATTGATTACAATTCCGTTCATATATGGACAAAATTAAACTTCATGAATGTCATAAAGAAATAAATGCATAATAAAATATACAATTTAAGAAACGAAGAAAAGAATGCAACTCTATAGATACATAGTAATATGCAAATATGACCGTCTTTATGACAGGCACTCATATGCGTTATTGTAAGATACCTTAGTCACTTATTTATAATTCTTTTAATTTATGGTATATAAGTACTCACCTCTGGTATCATAATGATGCCTGGTTTATGCGGAAATATGAGGTCATGTGGTGTTGTAAAATTGGTCGCTGTTATCGAACACATTTGCGTGGCCATGCCACCTTTAGTGTCCTTAACCGAAACTTGGAAGTCATAATAGCGTCCGGGCTCGAGACGTCGTTGTAATATAACATTTGCTTGGCAAACGGAATTGTACTTTGTGCATGGAAGTGATTCTATTTTAACGGTAGATGATGAAGCATCGCCCACAAATTCAAATGTTAGCGGATAGTCAAACTCTTCATCGGTGGCACGCAAACGATAAATGACCGAACCGACCTGCGCATCGGCCGGCACTAAAACAAGTCGCATACGCGTCGATGGATCAAATTTTGGATCCACGCAATAAACGTGCGATGGGCAGAGCATACCAATTAACAGGCTGATTGTCAATATTCGATATGCAGTCAGACGGCTCAGCATGGTGAAACAAAATGTTGGTGAGACAGTGGCAATGAAAGAGCGGTGCTGCTGATGATTGCTGCATTTTCTATTGCTGGAAGCCATTTCTGTAATGATACGAAATAAAAAAAATTTCCTTAATAAATAAGAAAAAATAGAAAAACAAATAAATAAAGACAACAAGCGATTACATATTCTATGGTATATGGCATATAGCATATGGCATATAGTATATGGCATGGCAAATAAAAGAAATCACAAATCGAAGAATTTAATTCGTTTGGGAATGCGCGCTTGCGTACGAGTTTATTGACTCATGAACGAACTGAGCTAAACAAGTGTCACGGGCTCTTGAGAAGTTAAAAAACTCATATAGGCACTCGTCTACAGTCATAAACGTGTGCATTTTTATACGTACGTGAAAAATGCATAAGCTGCTTATTAACCATGGCAATGAACGGAATAGTCTGACTTGACTTCGTTGGTACTTGACTCGGCGTAGAACCTTAACAATCTGCACATCCGGTGCCAATGACAATATTTCATTTTGATATTTGTCTTTCGCAATTTCCAATACTCACTGCACAAACTAAATACTTTACATTTATTTTGATTAGCGTAATTTTATGCATTTAAGGTTGTATAAAATATAATTTAAGATTTTTTCTAAAATATCCACAAGAAGCTGATTGCACACATTAGATTCTTTATCGACTTCAATTGCAGTCTCACTTAAAGCGGCTTAAATTTGCTATTATATATACAATATATGCTTATTTATTTCTGGTATTATTTTTAATTCAAACAATAAATATAATCACAAATTATAAGTCTTACTGGCTTGGATTTGAAGCGATTATTTTCTGCTCAAGTTGTTTAAAATATTCATTAGTGTTTTGTATCTCGTCGACACCCACTACGTTTATGGCCAATTCAGTTAGGTATTGAAGTTTTTTTTTTTTCTGGTATAACTTAGTGCCATTGTTATGGGAAACTTACTTCATTTAATTTAAAGCATTATTTTTAATTTAGCAATTTTTTCCAAGTGGTTGTGAGTGCTGCACCCAGGAAGGTGTTAAATAGATTTATTTCGGTTTACTTAACTGGCGTCTGCATTTTGCAATGGAGCTTAATTCTGTAGTTAATATGAAAAAATTCTATAACACAAAGTTTAAAGCGATTAAAGACGCTGTAGTTTAATGTATAATACAAAATAATCTACTAATCTCAAAAAAGAATAAGAAACTTTTCAACCAAAATTATAGAATATGTGAGTTTTAAATTTTAATGAAGTGCATAATATGCATATAAGTCCATCTTAATGGATGTATAAGCTGTAATTTCAAAAATGATATTTTTTGCTTAATCTATAAACTGCATGGCTCATGATGTTTCTAGAAAATGCCATAACATCAACTTCAACGGAGACTTTTACAAGATTTTATTTGTAATAATAAGGTTAAGATAATTATTCCAGCAAGGTTATTGCAAATACAGTCAAACTTTCATAGTTCGAACTTATATTAATCGAACCAAAAACAATGCAGCAAGGTTTTAGAGAGCAAATTACATACAATTCTGCTTCCATAACTCGAACTTCTATAACTCAAATTTCTCTAAAACTCGAACAAAAATTTTGTTCCTTGCCAATAGGAATATGGGAAAGTGCATTCTATAAGTCGATTTTTTGTTTTAAGTATAGATGCATTTTGCTGTTAGAGGAAGTCCCTCTTACCAAATCAAATGCCAGTCGCTGGTAGCGTGGTTTAAAGTAAATAAAATTACTTCCAATGTTACTCTTAACGATTATATTGAGCTTGATAATGAAGTTTGTACATTAAGCTTTCCTACAGATGATGATATTATGAGCAGTATAGATCTAAATTACTGGATTCAATTCTAAGTGATGATGAGGATTCGGTGGATTTAATTGTTCATCAGGTTTCCAAGAAGGATGTAGAAAACTCATTTAAAATTCTAAATTAATATTTGCAAACGAATGATACTACAATGATCTCCATAAGAATACGAATAAAGTAGAATCTCTTGTTACTGAGAATAAGAAAAAAAGTCTCAAACCTTAATTTCTAAATATTTTACTTAACTATAACTTCTGTGCTTTATTTGATTACAAATAAATAAATATCTTGAAATGTAATTCTAGTTTCTTTCAAAAATAAAAAAAAATAAAAAAATTCTCTAACTCGCAGTCTCCATAAGTCGAACCTTTTCTTTGCAAAATTGGACTTCGAGTTATGGAAGTTTGACTGTATAGTAGGTTTAAGTAGCCATAGGTGTCACACTTTTTCCACTTTCCGTTTCACTTTATAATATAGTAGCACAATACTGGGTATTAGCTATAACTTCTGTGCTTTATTTGATTACAAATAAATAAATATCTTGAAATGTAATTCTAGTTTCTTTCAAAAATAAAAAAAAAATAAAAGAATTCTCTAACTCGCAGTCTCCATAAGTCGAACCTTTTCTTTGCAAAATTGAACTTCGAGTTATGGAAGTTTGACTGTATATATGAGAGTTTATATTACATGTACATTAGTATCTTTTAATTAGAAATATATTTTCAAATTTAAATTTTTAAATACAATGATGTAATTAAATTTTTTTTATTCTTTTTATATAATATTTTATCGTTTCCTTATAATTTTAGCCTCTGCTTTTCAAAGTACTTCACTAAAATATTTAAAAATTCTCACAAAAAATTCCAAATTAACTTCCCACAAAAACAGTATTGATATTCCCAAACGTTGAACTTAAACCTTAAAAACCTAAAAAAGTTGAAATACTTGAGGCCAATAAAAAGATTCGCTGTGATATTTTCTTAGAACGCCTCACCGAAATACATACATCCACATATGTCATTTCATTAATAAAACATGATTTGTGCAGTTCGCCCCACTAATTTATGACCTGAAATTAGTTCTGCGGTAATGGGTTCCCAAGTCTGTTTATGGCAAACAAAGTTTAGAAAAAAGGACATTTTTGTGCAGTTCAAACTTTTTCGTATCTGTAAGATACTTCTTTCGATGATTATAGAGGCTGTAGTACACTTTATTTTGTTTAAAAATGCAATCGTCATCAGTCAAGCTGATTTATTGTTTCACTTTTTTTTATGACTAAATAAATTAAAAAGATAGCAAAACTGACTAACAAATCGTTGACGATTTTGTTTCAAGGTTATTGAGGAGGATTGCTTAGTATTTGGTAAAGTTTGTCGTATTGTCATATATTAAGCTTTTTTTCTATATATTATATAATTAATAAAGAGCTATTATAATAAAAAAAAACATTGTATTTATGTGACAGAAAGTGAGTGTATAAAACAAAGCATTGTTTCTTAAGTTAGTTAAATTTTATGAAGATATAGATACAAATCCATACGCCAATTGGGTTAAAATGTGCTATGAGATAAGCCTAAATGTCTTATAAGTCATATATTGCATAAATTAAAATTTTTTTTGAGACTTTTACTAATTTAAGCAATATTTTCAATCGGGTGTGGATTTCGATAATGTCTAGACATTAGCATATCTGCTACAGATTCAACTTCTTCTTGTTTCTTCATAATTTTGCTTATAGTACGCTTAGATGTATTTTCATTATATCGACTATAATC